ACTGGCTATACTCTAATGAAAAACACGTGATTTTTATCCAGCTGTGATGGAGAGGGACACATGGCAGAAGTTCTCAGTATTACCTAGACAAAATCTTTATGTTGGGCTGTCACATACATTACATGACGAGTATGTTAAAGGTCACATATTATGCAAAATACACCTTACCATGTATTTCGCACACTAATGTGTGTCCCTAGCCTGTCTACAAACCCGCCTAATTATTCTCTGTCTTTTGCCTGCTCCACTTTTCAGAAATGCACCGTAAACAATTGGGCATGGTGCAAGAAAAAACAAGCGACCCAAGCCCATCTAGAGGGTGTGGATCAAACAAGCTATAGGCACAGCCTGTTCTGAGCAGGGCTGAAATAGAAGGGTTTATAGACATGCTTAAATACAGGATCAGAGTGGGATTTTAACTTTACAGACATGTTTTGGGGAGCTGTGAGACTTATGAACTTGTTGAACAGAAGTATGTTTCCTTTGAACCGAATGTGTCTCAGTCAATAGTTGTTGGGGCGGCAGTATCTCATTCTGTAGGGACTTGGTTTGGGAACTGGAGGGTCGCTGGTTCAAGTCGGTGCAGACCAAAATATGGAAGTTGGTCTGATAGCTGGAGAGATGACACTACCGGAGTACTGCCGAGGTGCCCTTGAGCAAGGCAATGAACCCCCAACAGCTCTGATGTGCTCCCTGCGTAGCAGTGTGTAGCATACCACTCTCTGACACCTCTCTATTAATGCATGTCCACAGGTACTGTTTGTGCATGTGTGTGATTTGGGCCTATGTGCATGAGAAGCATTTTTCTCAATAACAGAGTGTCAAACCAGAATTTCCCCTTAGGGATTATTAAAGTATGTAAGAAAAAAAGAAAAAAAAAAGAAATCAATTAAAAAATCAATCACAGGCTTTCATGCATAATTATACAGAGCTATCCAAAAACAGGTAAAAATAGCACCCAGTTTGACTTAGAAGAGTTCAATATGAATATTATAATAATACTACATGAATGTAATACATGTATAATGCTGTAGTTTAGCTTGCTACATTTGTCTTAGATGTATAGCTTTAGTGTCAGCTTAGTTTAATGTGGATTGACTAATAGTGACAAAAAAGTGAACAGTGTGATAAAGTTAGTTGAAGTCACACTCCACTCTCTTCACTAATGAGGATATCAGGATCTATTAGAGGTTCATGTGACTGTTAATGAGCAACATTCCTCTTGGCAGAACAGGATTAAAATGATCTGAACCATCGGCCTTGATATTGTAAAGAGAGGATTAGGTGGTGCGGGGAACAATGCTCTGTATATGCAAATGAAACATGTGGGTTGGATGACAAATAAAAGCGGAGGAAGACAGGAAGAGAGGGATGAGGCAAAGGAAAGACGGTGGAGGATGTGGGCAGGTTGAGCACACTCCTTCAGAGAAGGAAGGAAGAATGTTGCTCACCCTCTCCCAAAGCCAAAAGGAGGGAAGGCAAGAAGCAGACACCTGTGTAAAGAATGAAAGCTATGAGTCATTCAAGAATCCTGATTTAACCATGTGGGCATGTGTGTGTGTGTCTAAATAGAATGACACAAGACTGTTTCAGCGCTGCTAATGAGGATTTGTAAATCAAGTCAGAGGCTCTGGATAGAATGAACTGACAATGCACCTATTTGCTTTTCTGGTCCTTGATTTTCCATTTAAGCTGTATTTTCATTAAACTCTGCTATTTATGTTTTGCTTTGATTTGTCTTTTCCAGACCTGACCCGGAAGGAGGAGAGGACGTAGGTACAGCAGAGAAAGTATTCTGACTGTGTAACCTCAATTCCGATAAGAAGTGGGCCCCCCCCCCTTAACTGCTCATATGTGGGTTGCCATCTGGCCAGAATTGCTTGCCTGCCAATCCAAGAGTAAATGACATCCACAGATTTTATTTCATTCTTCATGGAAACTGTAGTTTAGGTTTATTATTTAACCTTTTGGAGCACATAGGAGAGCTTACACACTAATTTTGAAATATGCATGCAGACTTAACAATATCAGATGCTGTACATCATTGATCTACTCTATGTTCCATATTCCTAAACTTTATTGTTGTCTGAAAGAAGCTGCTGGGGTCTTTGGTTTCAATGTATGCGTTCCATCCTGACGTTGAACAACTCAGAACTGCAACCAGCATCTTGAGTCAGTGGGACCGTGCATGAAGACGTTTCTACCAGTGAGAGGACACAGCTGACTCAAGCTGAGTCACCTTGATTAAGGGCGCAGAGGATAATGCCAGAGAGGCAGCCTCCGCCCATTGCTGAAGAAGACAAAACGCCTGAGAGCTAGTCCCATTTGTTGTCTGTGCTTCTTCTTCCCCTTCCAGAGAAAGTTTTTCACATGTTTTTCTTTAGGTTCCTCAAAGATAAATGCTTAACTTCAATCGCACAAGACAGAGCCAACTGAAATGAGATAAGAACGGTTGCTGGGTCGACTATGCCCAAAAAAAGTCAGTAATAAATAGCTTAATTTTGGGTGAAAACTGTGTTTCATCTGCAGTAGATTAGAACGAGTGAAAGTCACCCATATCGTTAACCTTTCAATATCAGGATGCCACCAGTTTTTACATAAAACAGTAATAGAATAGAATATGCTCCTGTCATTTGCAGCACACACAGACACACAGCAACGGCCATAATAAATGTTATGTGGAGGAGAGGAAATAAGAAAGCCTTCTTCGGAGTTAAATAATCTCTTAATTTGAAATGTGTAATTTTGTCAGCCAGTAATTCACTTCATAATTTCCACTTCTCCAGAACAGGTTGAAAGGAATCCAAGCCATCCAAAGTTATTTTTAGAAGGAGAAAATGTCATTTAGAGAGAAGTCTCCTCACATGGCCTCTTACATAATGCAGATCATGACGACGTTCAAAGAGACACGGCAAATTTTCTACGTAAAGCCTATGTTAAGACAGAAAAGCCTGTTTTAGAGAGAGGTTTAACATAATCCCTTATATACAGTCTAAAAAAGGCTACCTTTAGCACTGCAGTCCAAAATGAAGTATTTTACATTCCACAAGTGACATGTCACAAAGCCAATATGATATGCTATTTGAAGACTATTGCACTTTTTTTTTTTACAGGAAGACAGCGCAACTCAAAAATGATTTCTGCTTATGTAGAACAAAAGCGGGAGTACAAAACAAAGTCATTGTACATTTCTAAGGGTTTAACAGAGAACTCACTGCTGACACCAAACAGCAGGTAAAACCCTCTGCTCCTCCTCATCCTCCTCTATCATGCCTTTAAAAACCATAAATCCTCACAGCTGTATTTTATGGAGGACTTTACACTTGCAGGAGCTAGGTGTAAGATTTAAGTTGTAACTTGTGCCTATACGTTGGAAGCTGAAGCAGGTGCAACTACAGTAGTGTTGTAGTCAGGACCACACTAATCAAGAACAAAACATACCAGAGTGCTCCGACACCAAGACAAGACCAAGGCAGGGGGAGACCGAGACAAGAACAAGAACATAAACTTATATGAAAAATCATCATCTTGTGTACAGCGGGCGTGTTTCTCACTAAGACCATAAAACCAGGAAGGTTGTGGGAAAATAATTCTCTTACAAATGGGCATTTTCCTTCTAATCACAGTAATGTCTTAGTAGTAGTCTTGATCAGTCTTGATTTAAATTCCAGAGTCCGCCCAGTCTGAGACTGAGACAAGGCCGAGTAAAAATGCTTTGAATTCCAAGACGAGACTGAGAACTTAGTGATTTAGAGTACTACAAAACTAGGTGAAACACCTTAATGTTAGTAGGACGTTAACTGCGCCGTAAAATAGAATGTTCGAGCTAGAATGTACGCACAGCTGCTGCAACCTGATACGGATCCCTAGATTTTAGGGCTTTAGGGAAATTGACAAAGATGCATCACCTTACCATTCCATAGCCAGCTACTGACCGCTTCTCTTGGACTTAGACTTCACTCTCAGCAAAGGAAACAGTAAGACATGTAAACACTTTAGATAAACTGAGCTGTATACACACATAAAGACTTACTCAACACATTTGTAAATTTGTATACGTGTTCCAACAACCTGCCCAGGGACTTCAGATGGAAATTAGCCTAAGGCTACAATCTGGTATATTTACATGTTTATGTTCATTAATGTGTCCTTGTTCCTATTTTAAATAAGTACATGTTTGTTTAATGTCTCCAAAATTTAAACGCATTCATTAATCTACAAAAGTGTTTTTTCTTCTTCTTAAAAGTCTGTTTGCTGATTTGTTTGATGCACTGCAGCAAGAAATAACCATAATAATACTTTAACTGGGAAAAAGTGGGCAGGTGGGATTTTAACATATTTATCGTTCCACTATTTGTTATCTGGTTTCCACCTAGAAACTGGATGAGATTTGTGTTGTTGGGGAGCCATGGGAATAGCAGGTTTAAGTGACTTTGTATTCTTACCTTTTATTTTACCACTCTTGAGTTTTGTATTCAGAATCAGATTACATTTGAACAATATGGAAACTTTAAAATGACTCATTTTGATTGTGGTGGGGAGTGTGGTGAAATTGGCAGGACAGATGTATACAATTGACAATATGTTGTTAAAACCTCTTTAAAAAAAAAAGGCCTATACAGACACAATGTCATACTAAATGATGAAGGGAAACATAAAGACAATTCAGTTCATCAGACTACTACAAACACTTATTTTAAGTGGCCAGACTATCTCAAGGTCCCAGCATTTAATTTTGCTGGTTAAATGATATGACGACTGATGTAACTGATCCATAAAATTAGATATTTTAAGTGTAGGGATCCTTTAACAACACTAGTGTTGTCAATGAGAGCACAGGGAACTGGGTCTGGTGTCTAAGGTTACATAAGCAGAATAAGGGCCAGCTTATAAGCAGTGTTGAGGGGTAGATGCATGGAGGGAGAGACGAGTTTGAGAATAACAAGGAGAGGCAGAATTGATGGGGAAGAGAAATAGGACAGAGATAGAGGACTGCAGAGACTGAGAGAACCAAAGAGAGAGAAGTATAGTTAAGCACAGAGGTGAGAGGCCAAAGAAAATAGAAGTATGTGTAAGAGAGTGGGAGTAGACAGCACAAAAGTGAAAGAGAGAGACCGAGAGAAAAAGTGTAAAAAATCGAGGGAGTAGGGAGGGGGCGGTGGCTCCGGCCGTGTTTATGCTTGTGAACACTGCACCATCTCAGCAGCAGAAGAGTAATGCTTTATACTAATCCTGGTATTAAAACCTCTGCTGATTCACTAAAGGAGATTACTGACATGTTCCCACCCTCCCCTCCTGCTGAACACTGACCAGTGCGTGCCCCTAACTTTGTTTTTAACATTTGATGAAAATGTCCTCTTGCTGTAATTGTTTTTCAATCAATATCATCTCAGCGATCAATACGCTGCTGGAGTGCATAGGGGAGAAAAAGGCAGAAGAATATTTGCGCCCACGCTGCGATATTTACATACTGCACGCCTCTCATATTTGCCCTGAGGTCTCTTTACCGTTCTACTGGCATTAAAAGCTGCATTTCAACTCCTGCCTATTCATCTAAATACAGAGCCGGTATTGTTGTAGAAACAATTACCAAGTCCTTCAGAGCCATTAGAAACCATTACCATTACGCTAAGAGTGCAGGTATTTTGAAGCAACTCTGTATACCGGGAAGAATTTTGATTGGTCAGAGATTGTTGCAAAATTTATCTCTGAAGAAACCCCATAGCTCGTTTCTGAAAAAAAAAAAAAAAAGCTATCAAATAAGTGTGTTACTTTTGTTGCTCAGAGGCCTTCATTCATTAAAATTGGAAGGCTTTTGTGCCACTAAACCTGTGCAAATAAGACAAAATGAAAATGTCTTATTCGCAAATTACACACAAGGGTTAATGCACCACTAAATGTGCTGCAGGGTACACAGTGTCTCTGTATCCCGGTTCTGCTTGTTTTTTTTAAATTTGCCTTTTTCAATTCAAATGAGAGCCTCTAGTACCCCTTTTCCAAAAAATGGTAAATAGTAAATGGATTTGAGCTTGTATAGCGCTTTTCTAGTCTTCTGACTACTCAAAGTGCTTTTACACCACATCGTCACACCTACACATTCACACACTGATGGCAGAGACTGCTTTGTAAAGTGACCATCAGAATAAAGTAATCCCATTCACACACATTCATTCAAGGCTGACGAAGCTGCAGGAGCTGGGGATTGAACCCCCAACCTTCCAGTTGAGAGACCACCGACTCTAATGACTGAGCCACAGCCGCCTCAAAGTAAACCCGGGGCTGGTTCAGAGCTCGTTCAATTTGCGAATCGTCTAAGAACCATTTTGCCTTTCCACCGACAGGCCGCAGAAGAGCCACGTCATACATACATATGCATACATCAATTTAACAACTCTTCCTGAACAAATTATGGCTCTAATAACTATGTGCAGTTGGGGTAAAAAAAAAAAAAAAAAAAAGACCGTCTGCTGTGAGTTGTTGGTATCTGCCCCAAAATGTTTATAGAGGATGTCAGGTTCAAACATTCTAAAAATGCTATATTATTCATCCTCCTCACCTCCTCTCTCCTACTCCTATCCTTTGCTCTCCTTCAACTCCTGTATGCACCTCCACCTCCTCCCCTTTTTCTACTCCTCCTTTTCTGCCCACTGCCAGTATGGCTAAGTACATACGTCTTCTTTGGAGTGAAACAGTTTGAACTTTCATGGAAAGTTGATAGAATCTTAACAAGCTTAAAGCCAAAAATAAGATTATAAATGTTCCAGTCATTCAATGATCATGGCATCCTGTGTTTGTCCTTTCTTACCTCGGCTGGAACTTGAGTAGGGCATTAAAGCTTGATTGAGCCTGGATGAAGCACGTCTTTGGAAGGACCTCCATGTGTTTTTTCATTTCCGAGCATACCTCAAAGGTCAGCTTTAAAGCTATGCTGGATCTGTCATGTGAAAGATAGAAATTCATTAGCATAATGCTGACACACAAAGAGTATTTCCCAGAATGGAGATAATCAAGGATGATCTGAACTGCTATTAAAATAGAATGCACAAGCAATACTGCATAGGGGAAAAGTGGTGGAATTACTGCTTTCCAGGTACAGATTGCAGATAAGTGCTTTCCCCTTTTGAGGACAGAAAGTGTTATTTCCCTTTGTGAGCCTATAGTGACATCACTGCCAGTGGAAAAAAAAACTGTCATGTTACAGCCTTTGGTTTAGATAGAAAATGTAATGTTAATGTGTGCCTGTTCAATTCAAACAGTGAGAGGACAACATCTCTGGTTAAATGAACGTGTACTGTCTTTAAAGTGTTTAACTTGCCTTTATTTGTGAAGCACTCTGATCATTTCATGCTGTTTAAAATGTGATACAATAAATTGCTATTGATGCTGGACATTCTACAACAACTGTTTTGGACTTCCAATCATAATGTTTAATAAATTAATTCTTCTAAGACACATTTTCCATAAATTTAACTGTATTTGCATTTATGTTTAATATTTCTTCATAAATGTAACAACACTTCATTATGTATTAAAATGCCACTCAATGTGAATCCTGTGAGGCTGCAGAAAGTGGGCTGGGCCAATGAGAATGATGGAGTTCTTTGAGACAGGCAAACTAAATATTTTGTGAATGGCAAGGATCATTGAGGATGTCTAGTTTTTGGTTTTTGCAGACAAAGGTTTATAGAACTTCTTTAGAAAACTCTTTCCTTGTAGCTCTGCAATACAACAACAGAATAATAATTCACTAATTGCAAGGCTTCAAACTGACATGGATATTGACACTTACAGCTTAGTTTGTCATATTGATTTTTATAACAGTAAACGTATTTCAAGCTGATTACACTTCATGGGGGTCAAAAAGGACAGGGAGGGCAGATATTATTTCTAAGTCACCTACAAAATTTGTATGGCGTAATGCACCCCAAGTCTTTATTCCTGTGGTGACCCAGTTTCAGGACGCACTGACAGATGGTTGTGTCTGGGGCTATAAGACTCAGTCATAGCTGAGGCTATAATACAGTAACAGCCTTGTGATATAAATGGCTCTTCAGCTCAGGAATGCTCTAACACAGGATTGATTGGATGTGATGCAGTGATAACATTTTGTTAAGTCTGCTTTCATCCTCTGATGCTGTTGTTACAATTGTGTTGTGCAGCTGGTAGCATGTGTCTTATTCTGCAGTCTCTTTTGCTACATCATAAAAAAACAAAAAAAACAAGCCTAACTGCATGAAGCTCACCTGTTGTGTTATCGGAATACCGAGTGAAACTTTTAACGGGAGATATGTTGTCAGGGCACTTCATAAAATGTAGTGCTGATGAAGATTGTCAAAGGAGCAGCGCAGACACATACAAGGAGAGATTAATGGAGGGAGGAGATGATGTGAGCGAGCCCTGGATCTCAGTTGCTGTTATACAAAATTCGTCATCATCTAACAGTGAAATCAGGACGGTGTCAATTATTTCCATGTAAGCTGCTCGAGGTGATCTCATTCAGCAGCCCATCTCTCTCTCTCTCTCTCTCTCTCTCTCTCTCTCTCTCTCACCTCTCGTTTAGTGTGCATACAGGCATGCAAGTGAATTATGATTACTAGGCCACTGTGTCGGTCATTACCATGTGTCACAGAAAAAAGTCATATTTGAATTATGTTAAAATGTTCACATTGTTTGCCATTCTTACAAGTGCATAAATCAAATTTTAAAATTATGCAGAGCTAAAAATGTGTAGAAACAGAAAAACTCTTAAAGTCCAAATGTGTGCTACTGTATTTAAATGAATGCGTGTATCTTTTTGTGAAGGTATGCACATGAAGTTTGCCTTAAGGTGAACGCTCTTGGGTCCATTTACAAAACAACATATCAACAAAACAGTATTCAATAAAACAGTTTAACATAAAAAACTGCTATCATCACTGAGGTTTGTGACAGTTGTGTCTGGCCATGTGGCATAGGGCAGTGAAACAGCTTACATTGAATACAAATGTAAAGCTGATGAACTGAGTGCTTGCCCACAGCTACAGCAGTAACTCTGCCTTCTTCTGGAAAGTGCCAGGTGGCTGTACTGCCTACTCCACAAGTACCCATGGACTCAAGGGATACCAAGAATTCAGGGTGAGTGTAATGCAATGAGATAATGTAGCACTGTCATTCTCTTTGAGTTATTGATAAGAAAACTGAAGAATCAACTCTTAAACATATGACACAGGTTGGACTAAGACAGCTAGCTTGTAAGAATTAACTAAACAAAGATAAATCAAAGACAGAAGGTTCTATGAAGGAGGTGCCAGGTTTCCAAAATTCATTCAGAACATTTTTTAAATAAAAAATAAAAAAACAGCTGCCAACAGTCTGCATAATTTTCTAACCATTGGCTCAAGAGCAACAATCAATCATCAAATGATAACTGGTAAATGGACTTGCGCTTATATAAAATTATTTAAACATTTTAAAGAATTTTGAAAATTGTTTCAATTATTGGGAATACTATTTAAGTCACTGATTCTCCAGTTTGTTCTGTTCACCGAAGTTGAGGACTTGTGGAATATCTGCTCATCTACTCAAAGGAAAATGTCATATGACATACGGTATGATGAAAGCAGCATCTCCCTCCCCAAAAGCCTGCCAAGCTTTTAGTGTTCACATAACTGTCTGTTCTAACATACTGTATGGTTGGCTGTTGCAAGCCTTACCTTTTTTATTTTTATTTTTATTTTAGAGCTGCTGTTAACACTCTCTTCATAAAGTCACATGCGCTGGTATATGCCAGCGCACCAGATGGCAGTTGTCACAAATCCCCCTCCCCCACACATGCACTTCCTCCTCCCTATATGAGTAGTAGGAAGTGCATGTGTGAGGGACACAATGGCTAGCTCAACGGTGTCTCACACGCTTGCAAAGGTTAATGCCCCCTGTGCATTCTTAACCTTGTGTGTGCATCCTGGTTTATCACATCAGTTATCATAAAGGATTTACTTTAGTTATGTGCTACAGAATGGACCAAAGAGGATTGTAGGGGTTGTAGGCTTATTGCTTTCCCCTGACATTATTCTTTTATAGCATTCTTTTATCAACTCAAATAGATGTTTGTTTTACTATATCTGCAACTACTCAACTGAAATAGTAGAAACAAGGCAGGGAATAGAGATATACAAAACCAAAAAACAGGGGTTGGGACAGATACCCTCCTGGCAGCCCTCTCTAACACTAGGCTTGTTCTTAAGCTGGTTGTGAAAGTGTCAGATGAGGGCAGGGTCATGGATCAGTGGGACGGACATCCCACATCACTCCTCTGAGCCATATCCCTTCCAGTCAACAAGATAGGACAGGCAGTGGATGGCCCAGTCATATGAGTGGTGTGGATCAACTCTGCCACCACTGCACTGTTTCATATTTAGTCATGTAAATATTAGTCTTTTCTTATAATGTTTATTATTGATATTTAATGTTGTACCTATACATAAGAGAGCACAGTTCACCAAAGTTAAATTCATTGTGTGTGTAAGCATACCTGGCCAATAAATCTGATTCTGGTTCTGATGTTAAAAAAAGTTTTGTCTGGATTTGGAGCTATATAAATCAAATGAGTCAAGGACCGCCACCAAATTTGGTATCAGCATCAGATCTCAGTTTTCAATGCATGGGGAGGGAGTGTTTACACAAATACTGTGGATTTGCTGTTTTTTTGTGTATTCTAATAAGCTTGGACTCATCACCACTACTTGTTTGGCGTACAGTAGAACATTCATGTACTGTAGTACTGTTGTTTGTGACAAGGTGCAGTGGGCCACCATGTTGCTTTGACAAACAAAACATAAAGTAATGGAGGCTGATGAATGGTTCATTGACTTTGGCAGGCACGTTGTGGGCCAGGCAACTTCACAAACTATAATTTTGAACTACAAGGGTGCACTGGCCACCCTCTTCAGCCTGGAAACCTCACCATGTCTCATTTCAGAATCTCACCCAGTCCAGATGCTATCCCAGCAATCATAGTAACACAATTAATTTCCATGTAGGGTCTAAGTTTGCTGACTAAAGTTTTGGTTACATTAGGTTATGCTATCTCTACATGCTTGTCCTCAACAAATCAGATGATGCTCACCCACTATACTGTATTACTGAAACTAGATATCAAGCAGGATACATTAGCTTAAGAAACATCCTAAAAACTAACAGGACATCATAAAGTTAAAAATAAATCATGTCACAAAAAAGAGACCTGTAAAAAAAGGGTCTTTTAAGTTTGAATCACCCTTTAGCATTCAAAGTAAGGTATTCTTAACTGTAGTATGCACATCACCTAAAATCTAATGCTGTTCTGACAAGCCTTCAGATTCTTAGATCTTTTTTTTGTATTTCCTAAAAATGTTACAAACAGTATGATTTCTTATGGGATGCATATTAGTTGTTAAAAGAAATCTCAAGTCTCATAATTTGATGTGATGCCTTTATGAACTGAATAGTGGGATAACAATTATGTGTAACTGCCTAACTGTAGAAATTGAATGTATTGGATCTTCAACAAGGCATACAACACTAGTTTTGCTTAAGGACATAGAGACTGCTAAGTTATCTCTGGGGTATTAGTCCAATGGGGAAATGTGGGATTTGTGGTGACCTAGAACATGGGAACAAGTAAGGCAGTTCATTTTTTTTGCATTTGTCATATCTTCCTGGTTTTTCCAGTCTGTAAGACTAGTTTTAATTTTGAAATGTATTAGTGTGCCCTGAGTTTAACTTTTTCTTTCATGAAAAAACAGGACAAAATGTATCCCACTTTTTTATTTTGTGTCAAATTCATGTTTACAGTATGATAAACTGCTGGCCATGTTAGGCTTTAGGACCTACCTGCTTTGGATGGTTATAATGTCTTGATAGAAGCGGTCAAACGTGCAGATTTTAAGGTCAATGGTCGACCGTTCCACCCATACAGGGATGCTGGCTGCCACACCCCTCACTTGGATGGGTATCTGTTCGTACAAACATGCCTTTATCACATAGGGTGTACATCATATTACAGTGTTTAAAACCAGAAAAGCTATATAATTCAGTGAACTTTTAAAACAAATTGTTCTATTTGTGTATGTTGTGTCTCACTGGTTTGCTGTTTAAGTCAGAGAATTTGATGCGAAAGTCAAGCTTGGCCTCTCCTGGAATGGTGGGAGTGAATAAGAACTCCAGTTTGATGCTTTCGAATGGTCCAACTTCCCCTCCTCTAACCTGAGGAAGGAGTCATTAAAACACAAAAAGCAAAAGTCATTTTAAATGATGTAATTTTATAGTACTGGATGCCTTTATGGTGATCCCTCCAAGAAATCGTTTAGAAGAATTGAATAAAACAGTTAAAACAGAAGTACCCAATATATGAAAAAGTGAGTACAGCAGTTCCAAATAACTTCAGAGAGCATGTTGCAAAACAACAATGAAAAGCTGTGTGGACTATGTCCTCAATTACAAAAAATACAAAAGAGGGGGAAGCTATTACTTGATTGATAATCTGCTATTGCAGACACCAGCATCTACAGTAACCACCCATGTGCAATAGACACAGCCATAGTAAATGCAGGGATGAAGGCCATGCACCATTACCTAAATAAACCCTGAACAACTAAAGCACTTGAACCACAAGTCACATGTAATATGCACAAGGCCTTCTGCAGACAGATGTGACCATCAGTCTCTGAAAAGAGCAGGTAACTCTTTGTCCAGTTTCACAGCCTTTTGAGTCCAATTTATCAGTTTCATACGCACAACTTGTACCAGGGGTTTTCTGTTTGTCAGTCAGTAACAATTCAGCACAGATATCTCATGACAGAAAAACATATAGCGTTAAGAAAAGTCAGTGTTTTTACTGATTAATGATTGTGGTGATCACTGACATTCCCAGAAGTTTGAGCAGTTATAGTGTCAGCATGCTAATATATCAAGTCAATGCTAACATGCTAATGATAAGCAGGTAAAATGTATAAAATGTATACCATGATTGGTGATGTTTCCTTTACAACATGCTGATCTCTGCTTTTTAATACAAGATTGATTGGAAAGTCATTAATTGTGTTGGGATTTGGTCATATGCCAAAGACAATTATTTCTAACTTGATGATGAGGGTAAATACAAATTCAGGGGGTCACCACAGTTGCTGTGTTAGAGTAAGACATAACAAAGTACTGTAATTGTATCTAATACTTACGTTTCCAAGACTTATGTCACCAAAGTCTGAGTCGCTCTGGTCCATCTGGGATACCGCATCAATGGACTCACAAGCCTCAGGAACAGCTTGTGGATCTGCAGCTGAAGCCTCAGACACTGCCAGACACACACACACACACACACACACACACACACACACACACACACACACACACACACACACACACACACACACACACACACACACACACACACACAAACACACACGCACACAAAGCAAATTCGAATCTTAAGCCATATTTACTGTTGATTGAGTAAATGGTCAGCCTGCTATGATGAGCTGCTGAGCAACCTAAAGCTGATTTGTACTTCTGTATCGTTCGTGTAGCCATGTACTTACGGAGAGGCCAGCGCACTTATCCTGACGTTCACCTCCTCAAAAATGCAACTAATTGTCGAAAATCAAGTGGCAACCTCCAGTATTGAAAAATGAAGCAAAATCCTGCAGTTCTTCCAGTGTCTGCTTAAGGCCGGCTGCAGAAGCACCCAAAGTCCCATACACACCCCAATCAAAAAACTGCAGAAATTAACATGTTTACAGCTCGGTACAAAAAACATAATCGGTTTGATTAGCTCATGTCTCGATCTGCAGTGTACTGGGGGTGAATCTTTTGATATGAAGGATAAGCGATATTCACAATCGACCTGCCTGACAGGCGAGTGCGATGTAACAGTTCATCAACAGGCAACATTTCCATTACAGCAACAGCCGATCGATTGGACTCAAGCATCAACACTATTTTCAAAATGATGCAGTTAGAAGAACAGTACTTAAGCTAGTGTTATCAACTGCTGCTCAATATTTATCATCTCCAACATAATAAGCTTGATTTCTGTCACCATGGTTTCCCGCACTCAAAAAAAAAAGAATGTGGCAAAACCGAAAACTGGTGATATGATGACAGGCATCGAATTGCACTGCCAATTAGCATTTGTAGGCGAAATATTGCAGAGCTACGCAGATGCACCAATGCACAAGTATGTATTGCTCACAACAACAAATGCCACTCCGGTGTGGCAATGGCCTAGATTTGACACAGAAGTATAAACCAGGCTTCAAAGAAACATTTATCACCAAGAGCTAAAGTTTTCAAAGCATACATTTGGCTTGGTGGTGGCGGTTCGGGAAAGTTCATTACCATAATCACCGTCTCTCTTTTTTACTAGCACAATGAATGTGCACTTCATACTGTATTTGAATATGAGTAACAGATGAGCAGATATACCACCTTGTCAGAATTGGAAGACATTGACCTTCAAAAAAAAAACTACCACTTTTCTTTTGGGAACATAAACGAACAGATCACGTTTTACTGAAACCTACAACCATTAGTTCAAGAGACACAAACCACATATAACAATTATAGGCTCTACTCTCAGCAGCCCAGAAACTTGGTCAACACCGAAACACCTCTTCATACAATGGGGGGAAAATGACTGTCATTGCTAGAGACAGCAGAACAGCACCAAAAGACTGAACAGCTTATCAAAGCATCAGAGGAGGAAAAGTGCTGTGTGCAGAGATGAAGACTTTAGATCCCCCATTTAAGAACAGATGTCTCCTTGTCCCTAGCTGTGAGAGCAAGGTGAACCCTGTGCTGTCTGTTTGTTCTATTATCTTTGTTCTCACAAGGACAAAAAGTCTTCAGAAGCACAAGAGGGATGAGGCAAATTGTCAACAGTGATGAGATCTCATCGGTCCTTACCCACTGTATTTCAAAGGCGTTGCATTACAAGCAGAGCTGTCTCCTACAAACTCTGGTCACATCCAATAAGCCTGCACTGGCTAGTGTGTGTAGAAGGCAGCATATTGTAATTCAGTTCAGATTAAAGTTTTATTTAACAGGCTATATTAAAATATACACATGTCATGTAATTCATGTTTTCTCTAAAATATTTTAAATCATTCAAGTAAAGCGTATGCATATGGGTTCATTGAAGCTGCACAAAGCAAAGAGGAGGGATTGTAGGTGATTACCACGACATATTATTGGATGCATATTGTCAGCACAGACTTTTTCCATTACTTCTAAAAATGATCTTTACAAGTCTAATAAGACAAGACCAAAAGTAATAAATATATTACTAGGTGATGCAGTATGTTGCCTGCTGAAAACTGACATTTTGCCTGCCAGCTTCACTGTGTTTACTCTGCACTGATATATCATCACCTGTGTGTCCTTGCAGCAACTTGTCAGAGAGCCTGTGACACTCTTGCTCGAGTTGAGGTTCTCCTGTTTCTATAGAGGCAGAGCTTGTCTGGTTGTCAGATGTTGGGTTTTTACTGGTTGTCTCCTGTCAGCCAACAAAGCAACACACAGATTAGTTTGACTTTAACGTGATCGTTCAGACTTGTGTCTGTCTGCACATATGGTAATGTATGCTTAAATTTCCTGTTTTCATTTGCTGCTATAAAATTCAGTCCATCAGGCCATCATAGAAAACATCCACTCTTTTGGTCCAGATCGACAGTCTGACCTGGCATGTGTTGGCCGAGACCTGGGATAGCATCCGGACTGGCTGAGATTCTTGAATGACACACGGTGAGGCTTCCAGGCTGAAGAGGGTGGCCAGTGCACCCTTGTTGGTTAAAATTATAGTCCGTGAAATTGCCTGGCCCACAACGTGCATGCCAAAGTCAATGAACCGTTCATCAACCTCCATCTACAAAGAGGAAACAGTGACAAACAGATATGACTGCACAGCAGAAATGAAGAGCTGCCAACATGATTTCATAGTTTAACATACTTTGATTTAATAAGGTGGAAAATGAAATGGCCTGTTATATTGGGTGAGACAGCCCTTCAGTGCAGTTTTCTATGGGAGGATTGACATACATTTGTTTCTGTATCATATATACTGCATTATTAGCGACCTATGGCTTTAAATAGTTAAGCAACACACACATGTTGTAAACATTACCTGTATGGCACCAAACAATAAATTGTATTGATTTGGATGCAGGAGGAGATAGCCAAGCATGAAAACTGCATTGGCAGCCTTTTGGAACTAATTTTTCTCAAGGCTGGCTCCAGCACACTACTCACATCACATCTTTTTGTGGTGCATCTGACAGACACCGAGAAGGGACCCACTGCTGATGAAAACTGGACCTCTCCTTCCAGGTCCTCATTGATCTGCAGGGATCAGACAATTTGACAACGTGTTTATGCCACTATAATAAAAACTAAAGTTGGATATGTCATCTCCTTTCTGAATTTTGTTTTCAACATAAAACAAATGAAATGACAGAGGTGAAGCGAGGAGAAAAACAAAGTCGAGTTTGTGAAGTCATCCGTTTCGGAATATCTAAAAGGTTTTTTCTCTGTCAGAGAACTTTTTGAGGCTCGTTTTCCACACGGCACATGCATGCGTTTAAATGTTTTATTATCTAAGATCTTATTTTTCAACAAACCCCTGGGTGCTGCAGGGATTATTTTCAGGTCTCATAGCTCATACATACATGAGCAGATTTAATCAGAATCAGAATCGGGTTTTATTGCCAAGTACATCTACACATACAAGGAATTTGACTCGGTGTATTGGTGCTAAACAATTAACAAGGAAATAAAGCAGAACTAGCAACAACTTAAATAATACAGTATAAGAAGCTATTACAATATATAAAACAGAATTTAAAAATGTTAAATATAAAAAATAAAAAATAAAAAACACAAAATGTACAAAAGGTGCAATGTAGGAGCTGTGCAGTGGACTATGACAAAAACAATCTTACAGTGTATGTAACCTACTCACAGAGTGCATGTAAAGAAATGCATTTAAAGTTCAGTGGGTGTTAATGTTACGCATAAAGAACAGTTTCAGCATTCGCATTACTTTGATGTTGTGGTGATTGGACATTTCTGTGTATTTTTCTTTGTCTGCTTTTGGATCGGTGCTTGTGTTTTTTTTTCTTTCAGAGGCTGGGTGTGGCTTATTGGCTGCTGATGCTCTCTGCAATCACTCACCTGTTCGTTATCTGTAATCACCGGCTGCAGCATTTATACCCTGGTTCACCGCTCCCAACCTGCCAGATTATTTTCGCCTACACTGTGGTAGATCGGCTTTTCAGTATCAGTAGACTTTTTTGTGTTTTGGATTACCTGTCACTAAATATTCCCTTGTCTTTTTTCCCCCCAGTGCCTCACCACCCAGCCTTTCATTCAAGCCTCACCAGCCTTCACCAGCCTCACTTCAATAAATACCCCTTTACCCACCACCCTGTTTTCCGGTCTTGCTTTTGGGTCCACTTAAAAACCTGTAAGATCATAACAGATGTTTTTCTGACTGTGGGGCTGATGAGAGTCTGGGTTTAGCAGTTAATCATATTCTGTTGTGCAAGTCATTAAATGTTCATCTGATGTGGATGTCTCACACCACAGCTAAAAGCCAGCACCTTACTCATCTATCCATGATCTATACTGTTGTTCCCGTTCAGGGTCGCTGGGGGCTGGTGCTGATCCCTGCTGTCATTGGACGAGAGGTGAGGTACACTCTGGACTGAATGGTCAATCACATGGCTGACATATAGAGACAGACAACCAGCCACACTCATATTCACACCAACGGGCAATGTAGAGTCATCAATTAACCTAACAAGCATGTCTTTGGAATGTGGACGGAGTACTCTGATGCATGTCTCCCCACACATGCACAGGGAAAACATGCGAAGAGAGGACCTGTCTGATGGGGATTTAAACCAGGAACCTCTTCACGCCGAGGCAACAGCGCTAACCACTGCACTGTGAAGCCCCACTAGCACATTACCACCAAAAATGTTCCACTATGTAAAGATATGAACATTACTGTATTACATGTGTATGGCTTAAGTAAAGCAAAGTAGCATGACTAAAATACAAATATATCACAATTTATGATCACATTTTTAGTTTCATTCAGCTGACTTAAAAGCAGATAAAATATGATTTATTTTTTGGCTAATCTAAGTCAAAGCTGTAACATAGAAAAGAGATACACTAGGTCATTAGGAGATGTGTGGTGTCACTAACCATCGGTTGAAAAACAGCATGAACGTCACAGGACATACCAGTAGGCAACAAATCAGGAGAATCAAGGCTGAAACACAAATCACAATCAGTTAGAATAAGACTTAAGCACATATTGATACAGTTTTAAATACTTTGAATTTGTGTATACAGTGCAGAAAATGATTCTCCAATGGTGCAGACGCTTCAGTGGATGTTACATAGTTCAGCAAAGGTAATATAACTTACAGTTTAATATTTTATCAACCCTATATTGAAGCCCTGAGTTTTTTTCAGCCTCTGCATATGGCCTCACATTAACAGTATGTGTGAAGCAAAAACACAAAACAAGACTCAAAGGAAACACTTTGTTTTTTTTAAATCCAGTACAATATGTTCTGTGAGAAGCACCGTTATTCAAAGCTTCAGAGGAACTGCTGAAGAATCTCCTGTGAGTGGAGTAGATATGCAGAAAAAAAAGAGCAAAGGTCATAGGTCAACCTAATGCTCAGTTTGCACACCAGATAAAAAGTGAAAGAAAATGTTTTTATTTTCCAATTTGGAATGGTTGGAACTGATTTCACATTCAAATCATGTAATAGTAACACCATAATGCTAATGTTTAAGCAACATGTGTAGCTCACACAGCATGTTTACATCAACTATAGTGCTGTCAAAAGGAAACATAAACCTTCCTGCACTTCCAGAGAAACAAAATTCAAAGGATAAACATGATTCAGACTGTGTTTATTCCACACAGTGAAAGACAGGTCAATTGATTTAAAGAGAAGATATCTTGATCTTAGCACAAATGACATATTCTATTTTGAACTGTGGTTTAAATTACCAGCATGTAATCAGAGTGGCAACGGGCAATGACATGCTCCAGTAGTGAGAAGTGCATAACAGAAATGATCAGTGTGTCTCCTAGCAACCCTATTCAATTGTCTATCAAACACTACCATGGAAAAAAGTCCTATAAAGTGTTGTATCAAATATGTTACCTACAGTCCAATGTATCATTTATGTATCTCCATTCTTTTAATGGGTGTAATTACAAGTATTCACCCTAAAATCCCCCCCCCCTTCAACCTAAGTGATGTGTTGTTGCTGCTTGTACTTGGACTTGTACGTAGTTTATTATTACAAATAGCTTCCCTCTCTGCATAGGTCTGTAACAACCCTTATCTCCCAACTCAGCTAAGGAGTACGGACACCACAGAGGGATGTCTTCCTCTCAGCCAAGCTTTCAGCAAGTGTGGAAAGCCTAGCTTGTTATGGCTTTTGTTTCAGTAGAGAAAGAAATACTGCACAGCCCGTTTTGGCACAACATAGCAGAGCAGAGCAACTTGGCAGAGGGTGGGTGGGGATGGGAAGCCATTTTTAGAAATTCAGGGTGTACAGCATTCAATGAGCCAATTAGGAAAAGCCTCAATTTGTTCCTAGATCCCGTTTTCTCTCTCCTGTTGTGTTACTTTTTTTGAGCTAGGGGACGTACAGTAGAAATGCTGTGTAGTGGTTATGACTGATAGTAATGTGTATGATAAACACTGAACAAGCTAACAAGCAAGATTTGGGAAGCACAATATATCTGTTATTAACTGTAATTCAAAGACTATTAATACTGTAGTTGAGGACCAGGTTGGGACTGTAACGCTGGATATGGATGGGGAGTGTTGTTCAGGTGATGTCGGTAAGAACACCAGTGAAGCATTTTTCCGTCTTGATTTGCCTCCTTTATTTCCAGTTTGCTTGAAATACAGCCAAGTGAGTTTAGTATCTGTGCATGCTGCATGTGTAGCTGTTTGTATGTGGTACGAACAGTTGTGTGTTGAGTGCTGGTGATTCAGGCAGAGCAGTTAACAATGAACAGTTAACTCTTAACACAACTTGTCACTGTTCAACTGAATTACATGAGGTGAGTAGAACTTCTCACATTCGAAGGGGCGGGCCTATGGCGTCATCACAGAGAGAGCCTTTTGTACAAATACAATACTACAATTCAAGTCACCAAAGCAGCATGAGCCCAGATCTCTGGGCGACCAGTTAATAGCATAAACCATACAGAGCCTTTTTTTAAATTATTATTTATGTAAGTTGAAAGAGTCATATAAAAATGAGTCCTGACTAGTAGAGAGGCCTTGTTTGGAAAAGGATGCACCTATTCTTTTGGTGTGATTGAAAAGTTAGAATTTGTATTATGTGGAAGTATTAAGAAATGTCCTAATCAAGAATAACTCCCAACTCCCAACTAATGTTTTATAAGGAGGCCAGGGCAATGCAATCTAGGGTAGGTATATATTATAGTGCATGAGTTCAGTACAGGTGATTGCTCGATATCAAGGTCTTTATGTTTTTAAGGCGTGGTTCAAGTTTATTACACTGATTGTTTTATTGATATTTGTTGGTCTTCTGCATAAAAAGCTAAATCTACATGTATGGCATGTTTCCTGAAAAAATAACCTAGAAGAATTATAATTAAGGTGAAACTATCAGACCAAGCATCAAACGTAATTTATTTTATGTTAAAGACTGAAGTATGCAGCACTTATTTGATCCGCTTTTTTTTTGTTTTTTTGTTGTGGATATAAAAATGCAAACGTGCATGCAAACTGTTTAAATCTCTTAATAATCTGAAGATAATGACTTCACTTTCTTGTTCCAGTAACATGAAATGGAACTGATGGCTCTGAATTGGTACTACATGTGTGCATGCAATGGTTTTGTTAGAAAGTGTAGTTCGCTATGTTAGTTAAGATCAGATAACTAGGAGGTGATACGGTCAGACAAGTGTTTCAGCATGAAGGCTCAAGAACCGCCTTAGTAGCTTCCATCTGACTGTGCTTCTCAGTCAGGCAGAAAGAAGAGAGGCAAAGAAACATCAAGTTAGGGGAGCTGATGGTTAAGAGATTCACAGTGAGTGACCTGGATAACAATACATTTTGCTCAGCCTGTGGGCTGCTGACAGGCTTGGAGAGAGGAGATAGGAGAGACATAGAATGACTCACTGAGGCTCATATGAGGAGCTGTGAGCGTGGTGATCCATATGTGGGAGGACAGCCTTTGCTTTTACATGCACTCCATCATCTTTTAAAATGACAAGAAGATGTGTTTAACTCCTCATTGGTGATACATCAGCAGATGTTTTTGAATGTGAAAATTTGAGTTGTGCAATATGAAGTAAATTCAGTGAAGCCTCTTGCTCTAACTTTGCTACAATACCGAAATTCTGTTTTTGAAACGTAGATATCAATAACTATATTTTATCTTATATAGTATTATATATCATTACATATTATACATGTTCCTGTGTACCTAGAAGCTGTGTTGTTCAACTTCCGCTGGTAGTATTAATTGTTCCCAGGGGAGGGTCCAGACTAAGAGCGGTTAAACAGAACACTGTGAAAGGGAAGATGATCCTCTCTCCCAAAAGAGGGACACCAGGGCACCTCTCTGGGGCCCAGATCCTGGGGGTATAACTCTCTGATGGTTATGGAACCAGAGCCTTCCCAGCTAGATATGGTTTGGCTCACCTCCACCAAACTCCTGGAGAGGATGCCTGAACTCTTTATGGAGTTGCCTATAGGCAGCTGTGGGGATACTAAATGCAGGTCATCTTGGGTCCAGTAAACTCAAGGCTGAATTGATTAGATTTTTCTGTTTGAGGCTGGCAGCTATTAGCCTACCAAACCTGAATTTCCATTATTATGTAGCTGAAATGGCTATGTTCAAAATGACCCAATACTCACTACATAGTGCACTTTATAGTGAAAACTGTCAAATGATGAGTAAATTATTATGCACTGCAGAGTGGACACATTGTATTCCACAATTAAGCAATGTAAGCAATACTGGACTTTATGTAGCAATCATGCAAAGCTTTGGCAAGCAGGAAGCAACGTTTGACTGTTCTTTGGTCCAGACAACAGGAAAGTGAATGACGTGAACAAATATATTATAGTATATATATATATCATATTGGTTGGTATTACTATCAAAATCTTTTAGCTGTTTTAATAGAGAGTCAAGGACTTTTCAAGTAGTTATATTTTCCTTATGATGATTAAAGGCATGAGAGATGAGACCATAGTCTGTATGCAGATATAAATAATTTGTGGTGTGTATCTTCAATATCAATATTTATTAAAAATACAGCATTTACAGCAATCAGGCCATTGAATTCTATTGTTTCATTTTTGTCATGGATGGAGATGACTAATTTGTGACTAATTAATTGATTCTCAGAAACAACTTCGATGCAGTATTTCTTGGACTTACCATATGTTGCATATCTTCAGTATGGTATACTGTATACTTTAAGTGTGCTGGAGTAGAATGCATGTCACCTTTGATAGCCTTGATTTAATATTGGTTTTTGTCCCACATGAACAACATCATGGCTGTTCTACTGTATGTTCAAGGACTAAGACAATATCAAAATCTTACTTGATAGTGATACAATTCTTCAGATTGGCAGAGACCCCGAGAAGCCTGCAGTGGCTGTTCATGTAGCTGACATTTGTCAGGACGATTTTCTTCTTGTACTTTTTCCCCACTTCAAAGTCCTAAAACAAATCATTTAAATGTTTTGTTAGTCCGTTGGTATTTCAATTCATGAGCATAACTCAATTATCAAGGAGCAACAGTTCGGTGAAATTACATGTGGACATTAACAAAATGCACATCAAATCCAAGTTCATTGGCATTTGATCTTAAGCACTTGGCCACTCTACCATTTGGCCCTACCCCTACTCTTTTAAGGATCAAGGTGTGTTGGTCTCTTTTCATGATATGTGTTAAACTTTAATAAAAAATCAGTGAGTGATATCTTAGAACAGGTATTAATCCATTCCCTTGAAGGTCTGCTGCCCAGCGAGGACGCTCCAAAACAAGGGAAAAGGCCGAGTAGGTGGAACTGGGATTGGGCAGACTTTTCGGGGTTAATGTTTTAAAAGAATTAATAGTGTGGTACCTTGAAGAAGATGATGTCAGGTTTGCTGCTAAATGAAGTCCCTTTGAACTGTTTTCCATGGACTTTTGTAGCACTTTTTGGCATGTTGAGCTTTGGACTGGCCATTGCGGGTTCTTCCTGCTTTACCTCTGTCTGTACTGATGTAGGTTTCTCATTCAGGAATTTCTAGAACCACACAGAGAAGCAACAATTGGTTAGTTTCTTTATGAATTCTCTCATTATAAAAACAATGATATACAATAGTCTCTGTGAAGAAAATGTAAAGAATGGTAAAGGCATGAAATGTTTGCTTGGTGACTCAAAGAAACCAACTCTTGTTTCTACATTTCAGTGTGACTGATTTGAAATGTTATCAAAAAAACAAATGTAAGGCTTTATCAAACATGTTGATTCTATGTATGTTTTTGCTTTAAATTCAATACCTGCCAATCTAGAATTGTTGGGTGCTCTCAACCACACCAGCCAAACGAGAAGAGATGCCTGTTGCCCAACATCTCAAGTGTGTGTGTGTGTGTGTGTATGTATGTGTGTGTGTGTGCTTCTACATACCACTGTTATGTACATACCACATACCACTGGTATGTAGATGGTATAGAAAGCAAGGCACCTCATTAATAGTTTAAAGAAAAGTAAAACAAATTATACTGTGCTGCAAATCAATATCAATACACTTGAGTTGTGTTAAGTTTCATGATAACATTGCTATGCTCCTCACCACAGTAGCCATTACTGGGCTGAGAAGGGCCCTTAATGAGGACATGAATCTGATCTGTATGCACAGAGCAGAGATCACTGCCACTTCATTGGGTTTCCCTCTCACACAGAGCTCTGAGCTATTTATTGCATGGGCTTGGAGTTCTCAACCACACCAGCCAAACGAGAAGAGATGCCTGTTGCCCAACATCTCAAGTGTGTGTGTGTGCTTCTACATACCACTGGTATGTAGATGGTATAGAAAGCAAGGCACCTCATTAATAGTTTAAAGAAAAGTAAAACAAATTATACTGTGCTGCAAATCAATATCAATACACTTGAGTTGTGTTAAGTTTTCAGAAAATAAATAACTGATACACAACTATTCAACACATGTGGGCCAGGGCTAATGGCCTACAGGTAGACAGTGCACTGTATGCTAATGTGTTGTGTTACATTTTTACTCAGGACACGGATATCAGAGAGATACTTGGAATAACTAAACTAAGTATAAAACTAAACTTACTTGACCATAACTCCCTGTCACCCTTTGACTAGATTTGAATAATTATCATGAATATGTTCCTGTGAAATTTTATCCATTTGCACTTAAAAAACAAAATTCTGAGTTTCCGAAGGGCCGTATTAAGATGTCTTGTTTTGCTTGACAAACAGTCAGAAAGCTTGAGATATTTAACAAACAGTGACAGCTTCTCAAAGTATAGAAGCTAGAACTGGTGAATGCACTATATCAACTATTTTGCTTTATAAATTACCTCTTAGCAGAAGACATTTCTTGCAGATTGATGTTAAGAAATCATCTGATTATTGAATGATAAGCAAATTGATTAATTGTTACAACTCTACACACTAGAATCCCACATTCTCTCTGAAATGCTTGCATCAGTCGTTGGCAAACCTAAACACTTTCAACTAAAAATATTAGTTTAAGCCCAACTAGGTTTGCTCTTGTGCCTCCTAATTCCCTATGTACTGCGGCCAATGGGGCAATGATAGCATATGATGATGCTCTAGTTCATATCAGACCTATGGCTCCTTTCCGGCATGTCATTCCCAACTCTCCCCCTCCACAATTTCTGACTGTCCTATCTCTAAATAAAGACATCAAAAGCACCTAAATAAAATAAAAACATATGTACTGCAACCTGATTGTTGGACTTGTAGGATCCTGCAACAACTGTGATGTCATGGTTTCTCTTTTCATTTCAGAGTCAACATTTGCAGGGAGGATGTGTAGGTTACATTTTCAGATCTCAACCACTAAATGTCAGTGCCCAAAAGAACTAGCAGTAGTTTGTAGGGTAGGGACGGTGGAACACACAGGTCTGGGGGACAGCTGCTGGGAATTACTACCTCAAGACCCAATCAGTCTTAATCCATGCACATTAAATTAGTTGACAGCTTTGCTGTGTGTATTGAACCTTATAAGCAACTTTTTTTTTTTTACTTATATGGTATCTCTCCTTTCAGAATGTATTTTTAGTTTGTGTTCTTCTGTGTGCAAGATGTCATTTATTTGTTGAAGATGTGTACTAGGGAAAATCCTGTGCCTGCTGTGAATGGAAAGGGAGTGTTTTAAAATAGCAACTTGTTGGAGTTTGGTTAGCAGTGGTTGTTTGAGTGCACCTTGTAGTTCTGGTCCCACAGTCCAGAGAACTCAGGCTTGATCAAACTGTCAACGTGGCTTTGAAGATCCTCCTCCTGGTGCATGGTGTCCTCCAGGTCCTCAATGTCAGAGGAAGCTGATGATGAGCTGCTGATGTCACTGAAATCTCTTGACTGCTGTACAAATAGATACACACATATGCACTTGATATCTCAGCACAGTCTTTTCACAAACATAACTTTAAATGTTGTGAACACTTACAACTGTGGCTCCCTCCTCCCTGGCAGATGAGGACCTATCATCCAGGTAGAGCAGGAGCTCTTCTGTTGCCCCTCCCTGGGATGAGCGCTTGTCAGTGGTAGAGGGTTTAGGCACAAGTGCTTGATGCCTCTTTCTGCTCTTTACCAGCTGTTCCTCCTGAAGTATTTTGGCCACAATCTCCACTCTCTTTGACTTCTGCCTCTCCTCAACTTCCCTGAAAAGGGCAAAATAAACAGCACTGCTTTTTACTGAAATGCAGTCATGTATTCCTCAGCTCGGAGCGAGGAAAAAAAAAAACACACCCACACACTGCTGCAATGAGTGGGAGTGGAGGACATGCATGTGGGAGAGGAGAGGAGAGAACGAGAGATGAGGACGTACTCTTGTTTTCGTTTTCTCTCCTCTAGTTGTTTCTGTTGGTACATATGCTTGCTACTGTTGGTGCCTTGGGTCTGCAGGGATTTTGTCAGTTGTCTGTGTTGATACTCCTTTCTCGGGGCATTTGCTCTGGCTCCGCTTTGTTGGACTTGTAAGCTCTCCTTAAGAAATCAGAGCAGATTAATGACACTCATTTTTACCCTATGAAGCCCTTTGAAGAGTTTATCATAAGAATTAGGTTGTTGTACAGGTTAGATGTTGTTTCTGCTTTGCCTTATTATCCAAATATTGAATTAAATATCAGCATAAAAATTAAGGGGCATTCACACTATTTGTCCAAGTCAAAGCGTGTTCTCTTGTTGATGTACTTTAGTAGAACATGCAACATGCAAAATACAGGCTTCATGAATTTTTCAATTTAGATCAAATTTGTTTTCATTTGGACAAAGTGAATGTGTAATTTCAGCACAGAAGTTTCTCTGTTAATTCCTTCACACCTGCCAGGCTCCAGAAGCTTTATTTTTTAAAGGCAATCAGTACATTGAAATACTTGTACTAATAGCTTTTGAAACTAAGAAAGGCTGTTTCATATTCCCTGATGTTGATGGTTAATGAGTATTTAATGATTAGTAATAACTACTTTTACTGGTGTGGTTTTGTTTAAAATACATACTGAAGCTGTTATGATGACAAAAACAAATGATGAATACAAACATACTCCTTATACTCATAAAGATGTACAGTCTTAATGGCAGATAGTTCTGTCCAAAGACTCTCAGACAACACTGAATCTAGCCAGTTTCAACCTCTGTGAGACTTTCCGCCTCCATGAGAAGAAACTTTTCATAGATTATTATTTCCTACTTTATAGTGATTCTCTTGACAGTACATTTTTCAGAAATATTGCATAATTATTAATAAGCCTTTTTCCATATGAATTTATTGACCGTTGTGGGATTTTGTGGTTTGTGAAATGGGTACAGTGCAAGTACTATGCGTTTAAAAATACAGTTGTATAACTTTAGATTGTGTTTTGCTGTTTGATACTTGTTGAGATTTTTTTGTTGTTTGTCTGCAAGACTGCAAGCAGCTGTGATTATTAGACAATGTAAAACATGTGCTGAACATTACAGTAGGATGTATGCATGTACTTTAATCTATATCTTTTCACAAGTCAAACTGGGTTAAGTTCTATCACTGGGATGCAATATCACGGACTTTGGTTTGTACTCAACATTAAATTATTCATATATTTAGGAACGGCTTTATATTGCACTGTGGGTATAGCTATTAAATCTCATTATTCAACCATATGAAATGACAGATTTACTACAGAGAGGTGGATTACCTTTTAGTGTCTTTTATGAAAACTAAAATAGTGGCATTGTCCTGAATGCTGTTAATCTCCTTTTTTAGGTGTTACAGTAGTTTGATAACATTTAATAAATGTTGTTCCATGGCTGTGAGTCTTCATCTAGCTGCTGTCTTGTCGTAATTTTCTTGTTTTATCTTTTTTCGTGTGGGTTTCTTGTTGTTGTTATGCACTTTGAAAATGAATCAAATATATTTCAAACAAAACAAATAAAGCACATTATTAGTGGATTATTGTACTTGGGCGGCTGCTATGTTTAACTTCAGGGAATTGACAGCCTGTGTTCTCTTTTCCTGTATCTCCTTCATCTGTTGATCCTTCTCAGCCTTTTGCTGCTGCATCCTGCAAAAAAAGTTAAATAAACAGAAAATAAATAAATAAATATGAAATTGCTGCTGAGATTGAAGATTCAGTGTTCAGTACTGAGGTTAAAAAACACAACTAACTCAAAATCATTTTAATTTAGCCACCACAGTATGAGCTTATATAAAAAAACATTTGATCGTGGATCAAGAGTAACAAGAACATATCCTCCCTTTTATTCACTGTTTTGGGATGTAGGAAATGCAGTGTGTCCTCACTTCCCACATGTGTACGGGAGATAATAATCATGTTATTAATTTGTGGCTGTTGGAGTTTCTTCTTCATCATCATACATCACAGATTTGAACTTAAAATGATGATTTCTGAAGAAGGGGACATTTACTGAAGAATGAAGTAATTAGATATAGCAGAAACTTAAAAAACTAGTGGAAAATATTTGTGAAATTCATAAAAAACTAAAATCAACAAAGTTGGCAGATAAACGATAGGGACCTTTGTCTTATGAAAGGACAGAGTCTATATCTGTTGTTCTCTGATTGGCTGATATTTTTGTGACTATTAACCTCTCATAGTGGTTTGGCCTTGGAGTCACCATGCTCTGCTTGATTATGTTATTTTCTGTCTGTGGTCTCAAGGCGATTCTTCACACAACTGGTAATTTATTCTACAAATATATTGTAATTTTAATAAACAGTGGGAACTGTGTTTAAAGTTATTTAAGTAAATATTTAAAACAGTATCTTAGTATTGGTATTGATTGGATGCTGACTTTTCTGCTGCAGATTCAAAATGTGGTGAATTTACAACAGTGAATCAGAATCAGAATCAGAAATACTTTATTAATCCCAGAGGGAAATTCAGTAAATGTAGGCTAGACAAAAATCTACTGAGGTTGTTCATGGCATTGAACAAAGATGTCCACATGTACAACGTCCACTGCAATTGTGTTGTCCTGTGATGCATGTTTTTTTTGTTATATGTCAGCTATAGATTTGGACAACTGTGGCCTTCTATGCCTCAGAGAAATGGACAGCAGAATCACCAGCTTTGGCTTCTCAGGACCGGTCATTGCTGGTTTTAGTGTTTTGAAATATAACACAGCCAGCATTTACCTTTAATGTTTTTAGGTGGGCGTATCAAGACTATTATAGGGTTTTAAAACTCTAGCTGCAATTTGCAACACGGACCCTTGTATAATGGGTGTATGAGTTTGTCAGTAGTTTGTATTGTTGGGAGATGTCATAAATAACTTTAATAACATTTACAATATAATCTGTTATTTACTTTCATCTAGAACTTCTCTGTGTACATTTCCACTTTCCAAGTATTTTTGAAGAAATACTTTTTCAGCATCGGTGCATGTCAACTACATAACCCATTATATGTCAGTCTAAAACAAATCCTCTGAATCACATCACATTCTCATTGAAGTCCAACCTCCATTCATTAAATTAGCTCTTTACCTTTCGATGGTCTTCTTCAAGTGCTTTGATGCTACCTTGTGGCTAGCCTGGACCTCTTCAATTTTCTTCTGACATTCAGTGCCCTCTCCCCTTTCTGCCTGTTTACTATAAAAACAAAATGACGGATACATATGCCTCTAGTTTAGCTGTCTTTATATGGAAAAGATATGTATCCAATCACTGGCTTAAAAAAAATTGTCCTGTAGGGAAAAATACAGATCAAGGCATCACGTGTCTCACCTTAGAAAGAAAGTATAAGTCACTTAAATCATATGCTTCACCTTCTAGTTACTTGTTGATGTAAAAAATAAACAAAAATTGTTTATGCATTGCAGAGAAGAACAACTCAAAATGCTTGTTTTCCCTACTCCCTGAGAAGCTGCGACTTGAGCTGCAAGTTCTTCCTGGCTTGCTTCTCATGCTGCAATCGCGTTGCTGCCTTCTGGCCCTTAAGGACCTGGAAGACCTGCTCCTCCTCCTTCAACTCCTCCCGGAGTGGAGAGACCCTGCCGAGCTCCACTTCTATCTCTGTCAACTCCAATCTGAGGAAAAGGATGGAGAATTCAAAAAACTATAAATGGAACAAGATGCTTAAGATTCCATCTTTTGGTATATGTTTTCTACCAGCACTCATGGTCACAGAAGAGATGAGAAGCAAACATGACGTGTTTTTGAAAGGACATTGATATTTTGATTTTGCTTTCAGGTTTTTATTTTAAGGAATTGGTCAATAAACCGAATCAATTGGCCAAAAAGGCAAAAATTGAACGGGTAATTGTAAACAAAAAAACAAACAGAAAACAGCATTCTGAGCCTTGGATAGAATTTAAAGGAAGACCCCTTTTGGGTTTTATAATAGACCACACTTTGCTAAACTAAATCACTGTTTTATGAACTGATATTCCGTGCAACTTAACAGGAAAAGTTTTTTCTTGGATGTGAATCTCAAATAAAGCAATAAAAAGGACATTAACACGCTATGATTGTTTGCTTGGGAATAAAAACATTCTAATAAGAACCATTGTTTACCTCCTTACTAAAAAGAGCACTGTGTTTGAAAAAAAGACAAAGTTGGTGCAGTCCGATTGTTGCAGGTACATCTGAGATGCTGAAATAACAAATTCTCACATGATCTTAAAGACAAACAGTCTCCCAGCCTGACTCACTCTTGTTGCTTCAGCACTCTGTCGATGTTGCCCTCCAGTTCCTCCTCACTCTGCAGCGTTTGACACAAATGTTTATGCTGGGCTCGCAAACGAAACACCGCCACGCTGATGAATCAAATAAAAACAAGAGAACCTCTGAGTAGGAAAATGTAGAGAATCAGCATTTGAATGTAAGGCAGTCACTGTTAGTTCATTTAAACCAACCTGTTATCTCCTTTCTGTTGCTCGATCTCTCTCTCCAAGCAATCCCTCTGCTCCATCAAACTTTGAATGTTCTGACGACAGAGTTTAAGCTCCTCTCTGGAAAAAAGAGATACAAGATAACAAAGACAATTAGAACATTTTAAGAGCTGTTTAAGTGCAAGATGTTCAGAACAAATACTGAATGCTGGCTTACAGGGTAATCTATCGAAGATTTTGGAAAAGCTAAGAGTGGACACACACACACACACACACACACAGACACACAGACACACACAGACACACACAGACACAGAGACACACACACACACAGAAATGGAAAACTGTGATGGCAGAGGGCAGACAGGACAAACACACTCACACATACTCACACATTCACACACATATTTATATTTATGTTAAGTATAGCTTATGTTGCTCTAGATCACAATAGGTTGCCATATTAATACCTGGCATTAATCACATTTTGTTCTTTCTGTTGGTGCAAAGTGTCCAGCTGGTCCAGGTTCCTTCTCAGTTTGAACATCCGTGCTGTTTTGGCATGAATCATCTTCCCACTTCTGTCAGCTACAACTGGAAGGTCATCGTCATCAGCAGCATTTTCCTCTCTTTGGGCAAATGTAAGAATATTTAGGAAAAGTAGTAGGTTTTATTCAAAATCGGACCATAGAAAAACAAACAAAAATAAGGATTAATTATTTGCATCTTGTATGAAATTGCAATATTGCACGGTTATCTGTATTCCTCTGTCCAAATATGATAAGATTCAACAAGAAACTCACTCATACAACTCTTCTAACCACTCCAAATCAGGAGGAAAGGTTGGTTTTTCATCTTCAAAGGGTTCCGGGCCTGGACCATCATCTGAAATGGATCCACATTATCTCACTTTTAAATTAAAGATAGATGTTTGTTTAAACAGACCAGAAATAGAGAAAATAAGCCGAATAACGAACAACAACAGACACTCTCACTCACAATCACTTTCCTCGTCAGTGTGAAGTCCACCCCTGTCTGATGCCACATCAAGGGCATTTTCCTTTTCTTCATTGTCCATTTCACCTTATCCATGAATAACACAGGTGTATATAATCAAAGAGAAACGTAGACACTGGCAATATGTTCAACATCGCTTATACCTGTCAATCGGCTTAAGGCATATTCTTTCATAATCTGCTTGTTTGATGATGTAGATCACAGACTCTGACTCTGACTCGAAACAGTTTCATTCAGGAGATTTTTGTTTTATATTTTGGGTAACAAATAACTTTTGTTTTATATTTTCGCACACAAATAAATAGTATGCTCATAGTTGTTTGTCGTCACATTCGCGTCCCTGGAAAAGTATAAAAAATGTCGAAATACCATTTAAAATAATTGTCTAGTAACTTCCATACATGCCGATTAAAAGATTGGGTCTTCCTTAATTGAAGAAATTGTGGAATAAGATTTTGGAGTTTTGTTTTGACTCGTGTTTGACGTGCCATTTCAAAGGCTATAGGCTACTTGATAGGGGCTAACATTAGCTAAGCATGGGAAGCTTGACAGCTCAGGAACAAAAGCACATTAACAGTTCAAGATATGCTGCCTCACATTTAAAGTCAAAACTTCGTGTTACAAAAATCAAGCCGTTACCTTGAGCTTTAGTTTCTGTCTTGACAATAGGCTAGCTCTTCTCAAAAACTACTTTTGTTCACACCGAAAGTCAATCCACCACCATGTTTGATGTTGTTGCCAAGGAGACGAGACGCAATGGGCAAGGCCTTGACGACGCAAACTTTATTAACAAATTACAAAAAGGCCTCATAGACTGTAAATATTAAGGTAGGCCTTCAGTAAATACATCAAATGACTAAACAGAGACACATAAATAATGCCCACATAAATAAACAGAAATACAAATAGCCTACAACAAAAACATATTAACACAGATAAAACAGAACATTAACAAATAGCCTAATAAAAATCAATTTAAAAGAAAGTAGTAGGCTATAGGTTTACATCAGATACATTACCAGAAAATTATGTTAAAAAATTGATGTCTTTAAAGCTTTCTTGTTTCTCAACACTTAAATGGCAGATTCATGGAATATTTAAAGTTCATGAAAAAATAAGAATTTGTTCGGAGAAAACTGGCTTTATGAATATGATGCTTACCCAAAAGACGAAACTTTATCACACTATTAACTTCAATGTTGTGAGACTCTACATTCAAAAGTAATACCATACCTTATGTAATAGGGACAAGGACCTTATAAGTCTTCTAGATTAATACATAGATTTTTATTTTACATACTTTATTTGAGTCTAAAAGTGGCTTGAGTGAGTACATACATAAAATAAATGAGACATGGATTAAACATCCTCTTTGCAAAAGGAAAATAAAGGGAGACACCAGATTTGAAATTCTGAAATAATTCATAACAGGTATAGTAATGCCTGTAATGAATTATAGGCATGAATTACAAGTCTACATACTTGTAAACTTTTAATGTTAAAAAGGTATTTGGGACATACCTTTTTTAAATTCAGTGAAGACATTGTTACCATTAGGATAGGCCTAAATCATTTCCCAACAACAAAGGAAGCTTGTAAATTGACTTTAAAGAAGTTAAAATATTTCTAATTTGAGCATTCTTAAAATAATGTTCCTCGAAATCCTTTTTAAGAACTTTGGCCATGTGATTTTTGTGTGAGATCTGCTTTGAACCTAGTAAAGACATGAAGGCTTAAAAGTCTAAGAGCGTCTTATGAGGACAGCCTCAACAAATCAACATGCACAGTTAAATAGTCTGTCCACATGCACATGGTTGTTTACCATGTGCATGAGGACAATGTGTGTCACATATGACTTCTCATTTATAAGCTGGGCTTCCCCTTGCTTCTAGTTGGTGGCGCTATGGCTAAGACTATATGACTATATGACTCAACACCAAGAAGATAACCTCAGGACTAGACACTTTTGAAACCTGTTTTGCTTGATGCAGATTGGTCGATGAATGGTCCATTTCCAACAGCTTACAGCACATCATTTGGAACATGGTAAAACTATCCAAAAGTAAATTGCCAACCAAATGTTGCTCTGAAAAAAACCCTTCTTTTGGTTGGTAAAACATATGGTCTTGTTATTTCTAGTACCACTTTCTAAAAATATTACTCCATTAATTCCCTAAAGACAAAAATTTAAAGTGTTGTTCTAATGTTCTTGTAGATGCCTGATGTCATTTAAGTCAAAATAGCAACATTCCATACCTGAATTATCTCTCTGGATGGATATCAGGCAAACCACGCTCAGCAGAAAATACCTAATTTGGTTCAGGGGAATGATAAATCTGTGAGTTATGCACAATCTTTTGTCAGGCATGCAAGATGCTGTATGGCGCTATCTGATTTACACTGGAACAAGACATTTGAGGTGATCGGTATTGCACAGGCAGAATGAACATTTACTGTAAAGATTCTCTTATTGGATGCAATAAAGCTTTCTTTTAATTCTTCATAATGTTAAAGAGGACTTCAGAAGTGGACTAGGAAAGAAGTGTTTGCCCCACAGAGGTGTGATACAGGAATAGTTCTTATCACCATGGGAGATGGAATAAATAGACAGAAGGCGATGAATGTGCATGTTCGTGATTGTGTGTGTGTGTGTGTGTGTGTGTGTGTGTGTGTGTGTGTGTGTGTGTGTGTGTGTGTGTGTGTGTGTGTGATGGATGATGGTGGGCAGGATGAAGGTGTAATTACTACTGGCAACACAAAGACTGGTACCTTTATATAAATACAACTTGCAGTGTATTCCAAATGGAAGGTCCAGTAGGAGTGGGGGACATTATCTGAATCACAGTCACCAACTCCATGCATTTCTCTGCCCCTTCGGTCAAGGCAGCAAAAGGGCAGGTGCACAGCTGCAACCACAAACTAAACTCTCCAAAAGCACAAAGAAGACTTTATATTTGATGAGGGACAAATACAAGCCTGCACAATTTTTAAATAATAGAGGATGGAGCTTGCTGATGTGACTCATAAAATCACAACACAGAGGGGATTCAAATGCTAAATCCTATCAAAACATATTTAAATGATGATATAAATTCCTTCAAAAACAAAGAATAATTCCTCATGCGTTTTTTTTTAATTTGACCTTTAATTTGTTTTGTTTCATTTAATTTATAATTTACATCTAATTTATATTGCATATACATACACAATTTATGTAGCTTATGTATGAAAAAGGTCCTAAAAATAAATGTATTAATAGTAAACATGCCAAAGGTGGATAATGGTATAAGATAGTCATTAAATAAGCTTACTGCTCGACTTCCTTTTTATTCACTATTAACTGATTGACCCGCTAAAGGCATGGGTGGCACTAAACATGTTAAATCCCCTATTCTCTTTTAATTTTGTTATAAGCTTTAATACTCCAATAATACATGGATTATGTCAGTGTTGTTCATCACAGAATTACAGATGTGATGTTTTATGTTCCACGGATGTGGTTTGAGTTTGGTTGAATGATTATCAAATTCACAGTATTGCTTTGCTAGTTTTCATCATTACTTTTCTTTAATACAGTTGCTTCCGTACACTTTTATTCAAGGGTTGAATGCACAGAAATGACAAGAAAGATATGTAGAATGTAATGCAACTAAGGTCCCATGCTTGAATATGACTTAAAAGTATACTTCACTCATTTGCATTAAGCTTTGTATCATTAGAAACCTGGTAGTATTTTTAAATGGTCATGCATCCCGCCCTCACTTTCCCCTGAGATGGAAAATCTTTGTATTTCTAAGTTTGAAAAGGAGCTTCCGATGACGCAAAATGACGATTTCTGTGTCACTGGAAGCTGTTGCGGTTAGCGGGTTGAAACTACAACTCTAGTTCCTCATATTTTCGACCACCGAAGCTGCAGACCAATCACAGATCAATGGGTTGGAACTCACTCCCAGAATCAAAACTTAACGTCCGCCATATTGCTTGGAAAAAATATGGCGAAAAAATATATACATAGCGGTGAGGCGGCTGCTGGTGACAGGCCGGTCTTGTGTCTTGGCTGCTGCCGCCTCTGGCCACAGGGGCCACCGCTCGCCTCAGGGGCCACCGCTCGCCTCAGGGGCCACCGCTCACCTGGGACCGTCTCAGGGCTATATTGCTATACTTCTGGACACTGCCGGCCGCTGCCAACTCAGCAGCTGCGACATAAGGCCTGCCTGTCTGCGGCAGTGAGGACGAGGAGCCCGGGCCGGCTTGAGCTGGGGCGGACTGGTAGTGTTGGTGCTCTCACTGTTTGCCTATGGACACAGACATAGAGTCTGCTTTATGACAGGAATTTACAAGATCAATTCTGGAAGAAATCTGTGAATCAGTTGAGGAAACGGCCTTATGTGTTAAGTAAATATGTCTGTAAACCTGACCTTAGTGGGAGTGGCCTGTGGTGCTGTTCATTCTGGGATTTGGTGTCTTTCATCCACATGAGCCAAAAAGACACTTTCTGCCTTTGCTCGACCAAGAAGGCACCAACTTCAAAATGTATTTCACATTTCTACTGTATGACCCAATGTCAATACAGATTCATGTTTCAATGGGTGAAGTATCCCTTTAAGAAGTGGTTTTATTGTGTCTAATCTGTATTACACAAAATTAAATCACAACTGCGTTCCTGTAATGACTTGGTCTCCTCCCTGCCTGACACAGGAATGCAATCATCCTGTCATGGGAAATATTCAAAATTCTAGAGCATTGGTTCTCAAATGGACCCAAAAGTGGGCCAGAAATAAAAACTTGTCAAAAAGACCCTATAACTCTTTTAAAACAAGTTTTTCCCCAGTTTTCTTGTTCCGTATAGTTTGTTTCATACAGTCTGTTTTCCCAGATGCAATTAAAGAGTTGGTGGTGGGTCCTCCTGAGGGCAGACAAGTTGAGAACCACTGTTCAGGGCGACATATGAAGTTCTACAGTACAACAGGGCTGGGGCTTTCTTTTGTTGTGATAGAGTCCTAGCCTATATGAGCAACTGTTGAATAAACATTAAACATGAATCTTTTTATTGAACAAGCCAAGGCTATCGGATAGAGAAGTATAGGCTAAAGGACCCCTTTAAACTAATGTAGGTCACTCATTTTTGTTGGTCCCTCATATTAAGATGTTAGCCTCTGCTGTTTGGTGATGAACAACTGGGCTATATTTGAGATATCTCTCTGTGATAACCTGAAAGAGAGGATACAAATGTGTCAACAATTACATAATATAATGAAGGGTATGTTCGTGACATGACTCTCTGCCCCCCCCCCCCCCCCCCACCACCACCACCAACCCCCGCCTTCTGAGGCCAGATTGAATCTGACGTTTAGAGGCCAAGCATGGGAGTGATCGACAGATTAGCGACCCCCCTCCCTCCCCTCCCCTCCCTTCCCCTCCCATCCTCTATCATCTCTCCTCTCCTCTCCCTCTATCTCGCTCTGACTCCGGAGGACTGGCTTCGGCGGAGCTGCTGCGGTGGATCGGTTTGGTGGTTCGCGGTCGGACAGGGATTTTTTCCTCGGTGCGCTCCCGTCACGGAGGAATTTGCCATCTGATCATGGGGTCATCGTCACCACGATCCTCAGCATCTTCAGCCGCATCAGCACCACACTTTACTTTCTTAACGGCAGCGCCGGATCACGACGACAGCGCACTAAAATAAAACTCTGGCTATTCGTCGATCACCACTCGGGGAAACTTTTTAACATTTTTCCTTTTTTAATCAATTATAAAAAAGCGTGAAAAATGGAGATCCCAACTTCCCTGCTGGCGAGTCTTTTTTTGTTATTCCTTGGAGGGGATATTTTCACCAGGTGAGATATACCTTGCTATTTACCTTCAGGTGTGTACATATTATAACGCCCTGAGTTGCGTCCGAGATTTTGGATACCATTGACTTTGATTTTTAAGAAAAGTGAAAAAAATAAACATAAAACAGTTAACCTTAAATATAACATATTTAGAACACCTTCTTGGCTACCCTAGTAGAACAGATATACCATCTATAATCAACAACCAATATGTTTGCTACAATATAGTCTACTATCCACAAAGCCAAAGCGTTACCTCTGGACAGATGGACCTGACAACAATATCTGCATGATGCAAATACATAGCACGAGGTTACATTTTCTATGGAGATAAATGCAGAGTGGGGTGAATGCTGCATTTAGCAGAATTATGCCACCCTCCCCCAGGTCTGTTTGATCAAAGTCAAATATCAGATGGTGACATGATGCACTTGGTTTAGAACAATCTCATGCAAAAAACTGAAAAACTGCAAATTTGATGCATACTAGAGAGGAAAATGTTCAGCTTTCAGAGCTTACAGATGGAAGAATTTCAGTAAAATATAGACTACTGATTTCTGCCTAGGCTGTAACATCTCTTGTTTGGTGCTGTTTAGTGTGTGCTAAAATTGGTATTTAATAGTGTTCAACTTACTGTAGGACTTAAGTGACATAATATTTAGTTAGTTATGGAAAAAAATGTGCTCTAGTGATAAAAAAAACAATCATGCAAATGAAAGCCAGTCCTGTTATGTTACCATTGCAAATTAAACTATGCAGTTTGTTGTCTAGATAGATAAATATACAGAATAGATGAACTTGCACAGATCTCTTGGGTGCCAACAACAAACATAATAGGGTTCTAAAGTGCATTTATCTCTGTGCAGTCAAAACATCCCTATGCTCTTGTTCTTGAGCTTTCACAAGCTGCCCATTTGTATAATTATCAACTACTTCTGAGCCCCAGTTTCCCCAAAGCCTTAATAATGGCAAGTGCCCCCACTGAAAAGGGCAAAGAGTGAAGCAGCTTCAGTAAAATTGTCCCTCATGGCTTTTCACCAGCAGAGGCAGTAATCGTTTGTAATTGGATTTCCCTCCCTCTACTCACTGCTGCTGCTATTATTATTTGTACGCAGTACAATAGATAGTGTAGGCTTTCATGCATCTTGCATATTCTCCATATCTTGCATGCACTCTGTCATGCATGCATCATTTCATTGTTGTGTTATGTTCAAGAAATGTTCATTTCTTCACTCCCCCTTCTAATCAGCATTACTCCGATTCTGGTTATGTGCTCATTTATATAGCCTTTTTTTCCAGCTACGGTTTCACTTAAAATTTCCAAAAAACTGCTGTCATTTAACAGATGATGTCATATTCGATGTCATATTCGACTGAGATTGAAACAACAAATTGCCTGGCTTTTGCTCTCGTTAAACCTGTGCAAATGAGTCAAAAAGACACCATCTAAAGCACAAAACACTCACACAAAGGGTTAAATGTGCCACTAACTGTGCTGCAGAACACACAGTGCATCTGTGCATATTTACATTAGCCATTATGCAGTATTTTTAAAAAAAAAACACTTTTACGGCAAGCAGCTTCATTGCTACCCCCCCAACCTAATTCACAAAGAGTGCTGCTAATTGCCAATCTCAGTTAGAGTGAAATAATTACCTACTTAGAGTTAGTAGTGACATCGATTTTTCAATTGATCAGGACAACAATTGATTAATGTATGTATATGATAAATACCAGAAATAAATTCGATTATAATTAGTTTGACATTACTTTAAAAAATATATCAGGGGTAACTTCAGTCCTGTAGGCTATAAGTTACTCTACACTTCCTCCAAATGTGTAAAGCTGTTATGAATGACAAGGACATGAGTGTTGTTTTGTTCTTCAAGTTGCCCTTCTTGATCCAATAAGGGAGACAGCTTTGTGTTTAAAGGTTAAACTCATATCACATTTACGACTCACAAATAACTTCATTGATCATCATGAGTGGTCAGAATTGAGCTTCTTCAGTGTAGCAGTACTCGCAGCAGAGTAAAGGTGTAGATAGCTTCTCACCGCATTAAGACGCAATACAAAGGAAAACTACACAGAGTAGGAGAACGTTTTGGGTGTGTTTGAGGCTGAATATCATCATTGCTGTGTACTTTTTGGATCGGTTTTTGCGATGGAGCGAATAGGGGAGAAAGTCATGAAGAATTTTTGGAGCTATTAGCGTTTTCAATCCATTCTCAGTGAATCAGACCCAGAGTGTCACAAAAGCAAAGGTATCATAAACTGACATTTATCTGTGGATATCACTGAGACTCTAAGTCATAACATTTAATCAATGACAGTAGTCAATAAATAAACTGTCTTGCTTTTAAGTTCATTTAGATATTTCATTGATAATAATAAAGTAGGCCAGTTTGATGACAGGGGGGAACTGTCGCAAGGTAGTTTTCGTGTGATATTCTACAGTAACACCGCAGGTTTGGCCTTGCTGCAAAAATAATCGCCCTTCTGGGACAAATTCAGTTGAGGTTGAAGTCAGATCCTTTTGGAGCCTCTGTAAATACTCCCTGTCGTCACACCTGTGACAGTTGGAGGGGATAAACATCACAGGATGTAATACATCCTTGTGCGACATTAGCTCAGTCTATAAGGACTTGGATTGGGAACCGGAGGGTATCTCTTGGCTAAGGGTTACAATAAGAGAGTAGATAAATCTAAAATGCATTTTAGGATTTTAACAAAGGTTGCACAACCTGATTATAACTGTCCCCAATCCTACTACCACATTTCAGTAGTTTTTTACTTTGTATGAATAACAATGTTATTGAACAGATTGTAATCTCATAATACTGGCTATTGAAGTCAAATATCATCTAAAAAGCTCCTTCTTAATAGTTCCAACTATTTTTGGGGAGACACTGAACCCCATTTGCTCATTAAAGCATTAAAGTAACCTTCAGTGTGTGAATGTGTGTGTATTTGTGTGTGTGTGTGTGTGTGTGTGTGTGTGTGTGTGTGTGTGTGTGTGTGTGTGTGTGTGTGTGTGTGTGTGTGTGTGTGTGTTTGATGGTGATGACCCATGTAGGGCATTTCATTAGCCTTTAAATGTTATCTGAATGGCTTAATGCTTACAGGAAGTGTATAGCACACATTGAAATTAGGAGCAGCATTCAATGGATTTTATTTTTTGCAGTTTTCAGTGTGTTAAAGACTTTGTCAGCAAGGCACTGACTGTGTCATTGTTTTATTCTAATTATGGTCAGCCAGTTCCACCAAGCCCTGGACTCAGAGTTGAATTATTTCAACACTGACCTTAGTTGTTGTGGCTGACTTTTCAGAGTGCATCCAATAATTTAACAGCTGTGTGTTGCGTGTAGAAGAGACATGTGGAAAGAGAGATGGTATTGTGAAACTTCTACTTCATAGGCCCTACTTGCTTGTCAGAGTGTCTTGGTGCGCAGCGCAAGTGTCATTTTTACACACAGCACTCATATTGTTTGAATAGCAAATTAACTGACCACCTTAAACCTGGTGTAAAGTCATAAGTCTATGGCGCATGTTCCTGCTATTCACAACACACTTCCTCTGAGCTTGTTGCAAACACAGAATGCACAACAGCACATCCACTCCACAGTTTGATATCCGTGCTTTTGCTGATAAATTCATATTGAGTTTTTAATGGGACAGAGGGATGGGGGATGGCGACCAACACCAACCTCTCCTTTATGCACTCATTGAGACTCCAATGCTCTGTCCAATAAAAGCAGCTTAAGGCTATATTTGATAAAGCATTAGTTATGTTGTAGCCTACAAATTGGAAGAGAAGATAAATTAAACATGTTGTTATAACATTTGCTGGTTCTATAAAGACTATCTGGTGGTAGTGTTCAGTAATTGGTGAACAGAATATTTTAAACGGTCCATTACAACTCTGTGTGCATGTCTGATATTAAATTCTCTAGATAATGGGATGAGATGATGTTTCTTTATTATGAATGTCTCTTTTATGGTTTTACCATGTTGTCCATGTCTATTTTTACTCGACTGTAATGGTACGGTACAAAAACCTTAAGATGACCTGGATTCCTACACCTATATAGTCTGAGTATCGGGAGAGAATTGTGTTTCTGGGCCTGCCATGAACACAGATACTCACATGGACACTCTTTTTTATTTGCATCTGTGTTACAGATACGTAGGGCTGTGTTAAAAAAATCAATACAGTAAAGTATCCCGTTATTTGTTTTCAAACTACAATATCCATTTCCCCACCCTCACGTTGATTCATTAAATGGATTAGGAATGTTTAGTTTTGTTTTTTATTTTCCTTTTATTTCTGTCATGACAATGATCTCTGCACCTGTACAGCAGATTTCCCTGTTTGACTAGTAGGCTGGCTCCTAAAGCTTAAAGCTGCTGTGAGCATAAAATAAAGCAGCTGTCATTGAGTGAGAAGAAAAGTGAAAAAAAAGAAATCGTTGACGTAAATAAGATGTTATTTTATATTTGTTTTACGGTGGATTATCCTCAAATACCCAATAAACGGGGCTCCAGTAGCACAGTGGTTGCGAGCACCCCATGTACGGAGATGGTGAGCCTCCGGGGCAGGTGGTGCGGATTCGAGTCCGACGTGTGGCTCCTTTCCCGCATGTCATTCCCTGCTCTCTCTCCCTCCCCAATTTCTGACTCTATCCACTGTCCTGGCTCTAAATGAAGGCATATGAAGCCCAAAAATAAACACAACACACCGCCCCAACAAACACGCCAACCAAGCCGGTAGTTATTCAGATTCGCATGATGTGTCATTGTCACTCACAGAGACAAACATGTCTGTCCAACTTACTGGCGACAAATAAATTCCATTTTAGAAATTGAGATGGTAAACTACAAAACTAAAAGTCTGGTGTTTTAGTTCAAGAAACCCTGTAAACTGGTGGCTTTCAGCCTTTTACTTCAGTGGCATTCTTATTTGTTTAGTTGTTGATTAAATACATATCTGATGATTGTATTTT